CAGCATCCACAGCCTGGGAGGAAGAGTGGGGGCAAAGGCGGCAGCAGAAAGATGCAGGGTGCCCCAGAACTCCTAGATGAGAGCGCCTGACACTCGGGCAGATGGAAAAGGGATGTTACAGCCATGCCTGGATGGAAGACAGTAGGTTGTCAGGACAAGCGGAGCCAGTGGTCCAGGGAGAGAACTGCATGACAAAGTTTGGGGTCCCAGATGAGCTCTGCACAGAGTGCAGGGCCACCACAGCCACCCAGGGTGTTGGGCAATGAGGAAGGAGACCTGGGACCACCGGAAGCCCCCCAGGGCACCACGGACGGGTTGCGGCTTAAACAAGAGATGGCTCCACTGTGCTTTTCACCTGGGGTTGAGGACAGATGTGCATGTGGTGTGACACCGAATCAATGCTGTGTGCAACAGCAGCTGGAGGAGGAGAGAGAGGAGGGGTCCAAGCTGTTGGAGGGGCCTAGGCTGACAGCACAGGCCCCAGGCCATGAGGCCTGAGCTCAGCTAGTAGCAACAGGGACAGAAAGAGGAGCATTTACTGTGATCAGACACTTGGGAAACAGGGACACAGCAGGCAGGGCGGCGGTCAGGAGCCGAGTCAGGTGGCTGCCCTGGGTGGGCTGAGCCCCCAGATGAGAAGACGAGGACAAGAAACAGTTTTGAAGGTGAAGCTGCCTTTCTCTGAGACATCTCAGGTCCCAGGGGCAGCAGGAAACACAGTGAGGATTTTCCTTCACACCTGCAAAAAAGCAGATAAGACTGTTGCTCAGCACTGGGCCAGCAGTCCCAGGGTGGCTTGGAAGGGAGCCAGCCTGGGCTTTCAGTCCAGAGATGGGGAACTCTGCCCAGAAGCCGCCCCTCTCCCTGCTTCCCTGGCCCCTGGGGTCCACTCTGAAGCTCAGATGCGAGGACACTGGGTCATGGTCACTTTGACTCTCGCCGAGTCTCATGGACTGGACGCCTATGGCAAGGGCTGAAGAGGATACAGTCTGGCCTCCACGATGAAGCTGAACAGTCCTACTCCCCATGGGTTCCCCGGGCCCACAGCTCCATCCCTGTCGGCCCCTCCCCACCTCAGGTGGCTCCACCTTGGCCCCAGCCCCATCCCAGCCCCGCCTTGCCACACCCCAGGCCCCTTCCAGTCCCAGCCCCCTGCCCCACCTCCTTCTTTAGAAGCTTCTCCTCACCCAGGTCTTTCCCACACTTTAGCCCCAGACTCCTAGGCCTGCTCCTCGAGCCTCCTCCCTCACTTCCGGGTCCTGCTCCGATCGTGCTCTAGGCCGCCTTTCTCGAGGCTCCTCCTGGCCTGACCTTCTAGGCGCCTCAGAGCGTGACGGATCTTAGTTTGTCTCCTAGCTGACAGGGCCGGGAAGGAATGCGCCTTTGTTCATACGTGCTACGTGTGTGTCAATGTAACTGTGTGCCTGCATACCTGTGTGCCCACGTGAGTAAGGGAAGCCATATGCACCGGAAATGACCGGTGTCAGTGTTTGTGGGCTGAGGTCAGCCAGTGCTGTCAGAGGTCTCGGTCCCAGTGGTGGACCATGGTCCTGACTGGTAGCCACCGCCCAGTCATCCCAAAGCACCTGTAACTCACACTGCTTGCAGAAAGGTGGGAGGGCACCTCGTGCATCATGGGCACCTCCAGGAGGGGGTTTCCAAGAGTGCCTGCCAGGGAGCCAAGCCAGAGGTTCTGGCCCCCTCCACGGCCACAGTCCCAGCCCGCTTTCCTTCCACGTGTGCATCCCGGCAATGCCCTGGGACATACATGGGAAGATGCCAGCAGACCTGCCCTCCAGCCTCCTACCATGCCCCTGGACTATGACCTCACACTAGCCCCACCTGCCCCTGTGAGTCACCCCCACCCAAGCCTGACCCTGACAAGCAGGGCTCAGTTGCTTTTCAACGGTTCCCCTCCTGGTGGGGACCAACCATGAGTCCATGGAGGGCGGCACACTGACTGTGGGGCCCCCAGATCCTTCCAGAGTGGCAGTGTGAGGGGAGGAGTCATTTGCTCTTGTTCTTTGGGGAGGGTCTCCTGGGCTATAAATCACCATCACTCCTGGGGGATGGTTTCTGTGCTGTTGGCTGAGGCATCGTGGGGTCCCTCTCCCAGCCATGTGAGGACAGGCCAGCTGTTGTGATGAGCAGAACCCACCCTGAGGGAACCTGCAGGTATGTTTCTCATCGGTTGGGCCCTCCTGGGACCCCATGGTCTGAGGCCTTTGCCAAGGAGAAGACGGTGGTGGCTTGTTGTCCAAGATTGCTGTATGGTCACTGGTGACTTTCTCCCTATTCCTCTGGTCCTCATGAAGGTGAAGACGCCCAGTCAAGCAGGCAGAAGAGTGTTTTCTCCTCTGGCCACCAAGCAGGCACCCCCTGCTTTGACTGATAGGAGTGCTTGCAGCCACTTCTTGCTCTGGGATTCCACCCACACAGGTGAGATTCTGAGGCACCCAGGAGGAAGGGGTTGAGTTGGCTGAGACACTGAATGATGGAAAATGGGCAAGCCTGGGATCCAGTCACATACCTCAGTAGAAGACACAGTGATGGCCAAGCCCCAGGGGCCAACCAGGTCCCTTGTAACCAAGCCAGACCCAGTGAAGAGTGTGACCCTTTGTCACCCAGCAGGCGGGCAAAGATTCAACCGAATGATGATGCTCGGGGCCAGCCAGGGTGTGAGGACATGGCACCCTTGCCTGTGGTTGGTGGAGTGGAAACACGACACACTTTGTGGAAGGCTATTATCTGGCGTGAGTCAGCAACTCGGGTGTGTGTGGTGTGCCCCGGGCCTCTTCCTGCATGGCTCTTCAGTGAGTGTGTGGTCACATTGAGTGGCTGTATTGGCAGAATGAGTTTTCCGTTCTCTTCCATCAGAAGGGAAGCATCAGTAACTTGTGGCAGTCCCGGAGTCTGGGTGAGGACCCTGAGGGAGGATTGTGGGGATGCTGGACCCCACTATTGAGTGGGCTCTGGGAGCACTTGGGCTAAATGAATACACACCATATTTCCTGACATCTCGGTATCAGTGAGACTGGGGATCTGGTATGGGGGAGCAGCCTCAGGTGGGCAGAGGGAAGAATTCCAGCACCAGCAGGTTGTCAAAGTTGAGGATCTTGAGGGAGGACTGAAAGGACGATGGAACCCAATCAGAGGAGACCTCAGAGAAGCCTTTTGCTGCTGTCAGTCCTTGGTGGCCCTGGGGTAAGATGAACCCAACATGTGTGGTCTCACTTCCCTATATCTGCGTCTTAGTCTAGGTCCCTGAAACAGGGGGCAGGCTTCCTGACATCCAGGTCTCAGACTGGGAATTTTGCATGGGGTGGGGACTCAGGTGGGCTGATTCCCAGGTCCTGTGGTGTGTCAAGTTGAGGACCCTGAGGGAGGACTAGGGTACCGTAGACCGCAATCAGAGGAGGCCTCAGAGTAGCCCATCTCTGTTATCAGTCCAGGGCGACCATGGGGTAGAATGAGCAAAACAGGCATAGTCTGACTTCCTGACACCTGGGTCTTGGAGAGACTGGGGCCCTGGTAGAAGGGGCGGGGCTTCAGCTCGGGAGAGGCAAGAATCCCAGGTCCTGACTGGAGGCAAGTTGAGGTGCCTGAAGGAAGACTGAGGGGTCCCTGCGGGAGGACCGACAGAACCCCACAGATCCCCGCCCCTGTAGTTGGCCCTGGAAGCCCTTGGGGTGAGAAGAGCACTCTAGGCCTGTCTGCCTTCCTGACATGTGGGTCTCAGAGAGACTGGGGACCTGGTGTGAGGAGCCAGGCCTCAGGTAGGGAGAGGACAGAGCCCAGGTCCGACCAGGAGTCAAGGTGAGGACACTGAGAGAGGAGGGGAGCCTGACCCAAGAATAGAGGGGACTCTGGTAATCCCCGGGAAGGACAACCATGAGCAAGATTTCCTGACATCCGGATCTCAGAGAGCCTGGGGACCTGGTGAAAGTGGCGGGGTTTCAACATGGCGGATGGGACAATCTCGGGTCCTGCCTGGAATCTAGGTTCCATGCGAGGAAGGACTGAGGGTGTTAGACTCCAAGGCAGGGAGGGATCCCTACTCTTGTGGGGGGTCATGGAGGCCCCAGAGCAGGGTGAGCAGTTTATTCACCTCTGTCTTAGGGACCTTGAGATGAGTTGTTTGAGTGGAGGGCGGAGGCTTCAGTTCTGCAGAGGGTGGACACCCTGGACCCCGAAGAAGGACTGAGCAGATGCCCTCCCCTGTGTTCAGTGCTTGGAGGCCAAGTAGGACGTGAGGAGAGGTAAGGACCAAGCATCTCCCCAGCCTAGGACCTGCGGGATGCCCTAGGCAGGTGCAGCCACATGTGGGGCCCCTCAGCTCTTTCTGTCCAGATTTGGGTCTTGTTCCGATTTTCCCTGCAGGTCCCCAAAGGGGAAGGTCCAGGTCGTGCTGGTGGAAAAGTGAGCACTACACGTGAGCCCCAATGGGACTACCCATCCCAGATCTGTGGGGACCTCACAGAGTCAACCCCTCCTACCAGCACAGAAGGCCTAGGTCTGTGCCACAGTCTCCCCCCGAGGTGCCCCCTCCATTTGTCTCACGGGGGCTCCAGGAAACAGGAGGCAAATATGGAGGTCTGAGGCCCATGTCCTGAGGTCAGGGAGCAGAGGACGTCCAGGCAGTGCTGGGAGACAAGGTGAGGTGGGTGCCCTGAGTGTGCACAGGGGCTCCCCATCCCAGAACAGAGGGGATCTCAAAATGCCTTAATCCCCCCACCTTGTCAGCCCCAGAACCTTGGGCTGTACTGGCTGCACCCTGGGCCAAAATTTCTCTTCCTCAGTTGACAGGGGACTGACTACCAAGGGGGAGCACCCCTGTAATGCCCAAGAGCAGCCCTCAAGGAAGACCAGTAAAGTTGCCTCAGTCAGAGCCACCCATGGTGTGTTTCACAGCTAGGACCATTTACACTCTCTCTTCCCCAGGTCAGTGGTCTCCATTTCCCCCATGCCACACTCCCACTGGGCACAAGACCCCATCCGCCATGCCTGTGGTCCCGATGAATGAGCTCTGCACTCCTGAGGAACACCTTCAGGGCCAAATCCAGGCCCAGGGCCCAGTGGAGGCGCAGCTCCTGGGGGTGGAGGCGGAGGATGCCTCAACCCCTCTGGCCACCTCCCCTCCAATCTCATCTTCCTCTGCCACCGTGGATGCAGAGATCTCTCTCAAGCAGACTCTGAATGTGATGGTGGCTGATCTAGTCGAGATCGTGTTCCTCAAGTATGGCACCAAGGAGCCGATTTTCCTGGCTGAAATGCTGAATACAGTCCTCAGGGATAACCAGGCCCACTTCCCTGTGGTCTTTCATAAAGCCACACAGTGCCTGCAGTTTGTCTTTGGCCTGGATATGGAAGAGGTGGACCATAGAGAGCACATCTATGTCATGATCATGACCCTGGGCCGCCTCACCCTCAATGACATGCAGAGGGATGGGCAGAGAATGCCAAAGGCTGGCCTAGTGGTTTCCGCCCTGACCCTGATTCTCCTAGCAGGGGACCAGGTCTGTGAGGAGAAAGTCTGGTGAGAACTCAGCAGAATGGGGGCATTTGCTGGGATGCAGCACTACGTCTATGGGGAGCCCAAGGAGCTGCTGACCCAAATATGGGTGCAGGCGGGGTACCTGCAGTACTGTCAGGTGCCTTACAGCTACCCTGCTCACTATGAATTCCTGTGGGGTACCAGGGCCTATGCAGAGACCAGCAAGCAGCAAATCAAGGACTATTTGCACAGGGTCAATGGGTCCCGGGTTCTTCCCATCCCGGTGTGCAGAGGTGTGAGGGAGGAGGAAGAGGGATCCTGAGCCAGAGCAGCAGCCAGACCCACATCCAGCAGCTTGTCCTGGAGGAAGGAAGGGAGGCTGATCCTTCCTTCTGCCTTCTCTGTCATGAGGGCCTGGGCCAGTTGGGGGGAAATGCTGTGCTGCATCTTTGGGATCATGTTCTTTACAACGACATGGAGATTCACTTCTGTTTCCTTTAGGAGTTTTTCAAATGTTATTTGTTTTAATAGAAGGCTTAATAAGCTTCAGTGTTTAACTATGTCAATAACGTTGATCACAGTGTGTTTGTGCTCACCCAGTTCAAGAAAAAAAGTTTGCTGTTTTGTAAAAGTGATTGTGAACTCTTTGATTTTATTTTGTAACCCTGGTCAAGATTTCATGGAATGGGAAGATAACTATTTTGGAAATATGATATTACTTAGTAAGAATTGAGAAATTAAATATATTTGAGGTAAGTTCCTCTATGTTCCTTGTATGTCATTTTATACAGCTAAACTATCTCTGTTCAATTGGATTTTTTCAAGTTATTATTTAAGAAAGTACAAAACACCTGATCTGACTTAATAAGTGCCCTGCTCCGGCTCATTTATTCCGCAGACCTTCATGGAGCCTGTGCTCTGTGGAAGGCCCTGTGTTAGCAGTGGGGACACTAGGAAAAGCAGGACTCCCCAACACCTAGAGCAATGATTTAAGAGCTGCAGTCACATGAAGAAGGTAGAGAGACGTCCCCTAGTTTCACAGAACAAGGCAACCCGGGGCAGGGCGGTGAGGGTTCAGGAGGAGCACTCGAGTGTTTGTGCCTGAGCCAGGGCATTTTGGGACTTTGGGAAGCTGGACTCATTCTGTGAGAGGTGATGGTAACGAACCTGGGCAGTGGCAGCAGCCAGAGCTCTACACAGTGTCTTATGGGTGAGAAGAAAATCTGAAATGGGACGTACACATTAGAAGATCCTCTTCTGTCCTAGATAAATTTCTTTTGGCAGGAAGGGAAGTTACACTATGGTCAGGAACAGTTAGACACTTGTTTATGCTGCTTGATCTAAGTACACCAAAATTTTTCAAAATGGGGAGGGGTGAGTGGACTTTGGTTTGCTGCACAATCTACTCAAGTCTTGGAGAATACAGTTGAAGAAATCTTGCTAAGCACCCCCAAACTCTTGGTAGAGTTGGTAGGATTTTAATGGACTGTCTTTTTTGAAACTGGTGGCTGTGTACTTAAACTAATGGATTAGCTTTTCTAGGTGGGCAGACCCTAAAGCCATAGATGAGGAGGGGTTATGGAAACCACAGTGGCAAAATCTGTACTGAATTTGAATTCACACACCTCAGAATCCTTCTTGGAGGTGAAGAGTGGTGCATTGTGCATATCCTAGCTGGATTTTATCAAGAAAAGTCCCACTGTCCTTGTCCCCTCACTGTCGCTTGTCTGATGCCTGCCCCTCATGAAGGTCATGGCTGTTGGGGAGTCTACGGGCACCTGTACAGATGTTCAGGCAAGTTCCACTGTGTGGAGGCAGCCGGGACTCTCAGGGGGAGACTGTGTAATGGCATCAAGAAGAAGGGGCACATCCTCATCCCACTGAGACTGTGGGGTGCTGGCATCATTGCAGAGGGAAGGGCAGAAAGAACACTGGAGGGAGTCAGGGGACCCATCCCTTACATTCACAAGAGCCTTGGAAACTAAATCATATCTTGCATTTGAAAGTGCCAATACAGAGTAGTGACTAGAAACAGCTGGAGATTCAGTGCTCATCTGGCTTTCTCAGAAACTCCTCAACACACGAAGGGAATTGTCTTCATCACAAGCTATTCCTACCGGCTGCTGTCTGTTGAGCACCGAGTACGTTTCAGGGCAGGGGAGAGACTCCAGGTCTTTGTTCACATCTCTTCTCCTTCTGCTTCCTGGAAGCTGCCTGCAGGGAACATGGGATCCTAGGTAAACCTACAACAGTTTGGGAATAAATTACATGATCAATGCACCAATTTAAATAGAAAGAGAGAAAAAAAAAATGTTTTCTATAAATAACAGTAGCACGTTGTTTGGGAAAAAATCATTCCATTTGTCCTGATATCTGGGGTGGAATGGAAAGATATTCCGGATGCAGGTGGTGCCACATCCATGGGACTGAGCTCCCAAGAAGCAGGAAAAGCTCCTGCCTGACTGACTGATGGAAGCTCTGTCCAGGCCTGTCCATTTAGGGCCAAGGTGAGGACCTGGGCTCCTTCCAGTGGCACTGATGTCATGAGGCAGCAGTGAGCGGTTGTGTGAAGTGAGATTTTAATCCCCTGCCCGGGAATTAAACCTGGGTAGCCTGGATGAGAGCCAGGAATCCTAGCCACCATACTAGCAAGGGCTAGAGCCTGAAAGCTATTTTTTCATGGATCATTGCCTCCAGTGAAAAATTCATTTATGACAGAGACAGAAACTGTAAATGCAGGTACAATATTATTAGAGACATAGCCCAACAAGTGGGAGAGCACATAAATAAATGGTTTGTTAGTTGAGATAGAAGCAAGGCAGAGATGCAGTCTTGGAGAGAAAGAGTGTGGATGTCACACCTGGTGAGCAGGAGCACAGTCAAGAGTCAGAAAAGCCATTTATATAAGGCATTCCTTCTGGATTTTTGTCTTCCTTCAGGCCAATTATCTGGTTTCTTTTTCCACACCTGACCTACCTTGGGATGCTCCCCTGCATTCATACACACACCCCCTCAGCCAAGATGGATCTCGAAGTGAAGGTTTCTGGGAGGAGCAAGATTCATTATGGTCTGGCATTATCCCTTGACTTTTGACCCACAAGAAGCCTTTTTTCACATGGCACATGTCTCCTTTGTCTCAAAAGATGGGGGAGTGGAGATCCCTTTATCCTTTACTCAAGCAGAGTTTTGCCCCTCTTTTTCCTTGCCATGACTGTAACCTTTAGGTATTTATAAGAGACAAACACTGGCTATTTATGCTGTTTCTACTGTTTCATTCATGTCAGAGAGCAAATAGGAGGCTGACTGTAAGTGCCTTAACTGTAGCCAACCTATCCCTTGTCACAGGGAATACTAACATTTGTAGGTATCCAGCCTGAAGCCTACTTCTTTGTGCCCCATGAAATGCAAACAGAAAGCCAGTTGAAAATGTCTAACTTGGAGCCCATCCATCCATACTCCTCTGCCTCACTGTGTGAGGCATAAATACTTTCATCATAATAGTAGTGGTAAATGCTTACTAGTTCTGTTCCGTTTATTCACTGGGTCAAGAAGATGATCTGACTTGACAAAATAACCATCATGGCACAGAAGCCTTGAGATATGGCTTTGTGACTGAGTCCAACACAAATACTTGGGGGTCATACTCCTGGAACTTCTGACAGGGCACAGGGATCACCCCTGCCCATGATTTCAACTTCCAAAGGCTAAGTCTCTGTGTCTACCTTGCATTTCATTCTGTTGTTCATTCTGTTCATTCACTTCTGGTGCCATTTCAGAGCACAGTGGTCATAGTAATTTTCATGGAGCAGACGTGAAAAGGAGAGACCTTGCAGAGATCAAAATGATCAAGGTGAGGGGGTCAGGCCGCTGTATCCTCCCCAAATTGATCCCGTGAGTAGTCTCTCACAACATGCTGCCCGCAGGGAGGCAGTTCCCTTCAGCGGAGGGCAATTCTGGAGAAGACTTTTGCTCTCAGTCCTCATCCACCAATACCGGTGGCCCTGGGCAAATAAGTGGGCTAGTCACAAGGAGGAGATCTGGGTGGTACCACGGCATCCACTGTAATCCACCCCTCCCAGCACTGACATACCCTCCCTTCATCTGGAGAGTTCACCTCATCTGAGGACAGTTCTTTGAAGATTCTGCTTGGTCTCCTTTCCTGAAGAAGCTCAGAGAGAAAGACTGAACAAATGCTGGGCCCTCACAGTTGCAGCAGCTGCTGCACCACAACTGATGGTCACTCTCTCTTGCCCGAGATCCGTTCTAAATCCCCTGTTCTCTCAGCCAGGACCTCAGCCATTTCCAGTGGCTTTCCTGGTGAGTTAATACAGACTTTGTCCCTCAGGGTTCTGAAGCTTGGGGCCCGATGCCCTTCTCAGACCCTTGCTCTTGGACTTGTCAATTCATCACTGAAATAGGGCAGGAACCCAAGACACATCACCTGGCTGTTAGAGATGTTTCCTCGCTGTTCCCCCTGTGCCAGGGTAGCCCACACACTCCTTAGGATCAAGGTCATCTCCACCTGCCGGGATGGGGACAGTTCTCTGTGTGTGCTGGTCCCCTAGAAGGAGGAGCCCAAAGTGCCCAGGTTGGAACCATGGCTCATAGGTCAGTAGGACTGCTATCGTGTCTCCTGGGGGAAACTTCTTGCTTTGGGAACAGCCTGTCGTGTGTCACCACCGGCAAGAGGGTAACCAGTAACCACATGAGCCTGGGAATTGTGAACTCAAATGTGCTTAGTGTGTCCCAGGGCCTGGCCTTCTATCTTAACATAATGTGAAGTCAAAGGTAAATAGCTAGATGTGGCTAATGTGGATAGTCCTGCTGTGGAAGTATAGAACCTACTCTTGGGAGACTGAAAGTACAAGTTCCCTGTGGGTCAGTGGGAGTGATGGTAGGTAGGGCCATGGATCAGTGGGAGTGGTGATCAATGGGGTCACTCTACCCCCTAGTTCAAGGACCATGTATCTTACTTCATGGGGGAACTAAAGATGACAGATATGGAGCGTGTCTGGTCCCTGG